TTGCATATATGTAAACTATATATATATATACGTGTGTGTATACATATGTATATGTGTGTATATATATATATATTGTTATATGACTTCATCGCCTACACATGAAGTATTTTTATTTTTAGGGTCTCCAATGTTTTTGTTGCTTGTTTGTGCATAGTGATTATCCTCTCACTTCCTTAAAAGGCCATAGTAGAATTTTACTATATTCTCCCAAAAGACAAAAATGAAAGCGAGGGAAATAAAAAGATTTCAAAGTAATATGTCACACAAAGTTCCTTTAGGAGATCGTGATGAACCCATTTCACCTTATCAGATTATATAATGGAATTTCGAACTTTCATAGTCGTACCCTTTTTTTTTTTTTTTTTGAAAAAAATATATATAGAAATTAAGTACTAAAATATGTCAACAACGACTATCTTTGATTTAATTTTAATGGATTTTGATACGCCCTCCAAATTTTTTTTGAAAAATATAATAAAAAGGAGTAATAAGGACAAGGCTGCAATAATTCAAAGATGAGATAGTAAATATAATTATATTATAATCGATCACTTTAAAGTAACATTAGCCACCAAAACATGATATTGTACCAGGGTTCTATGCAAATGACCACATTATGTCACTTTCAGATTAATTGCTTTCTTTCATCTTTGAGCGGATGTGTTCTTGCAGCTAATTTGCTACTTTGACTCTTTATTAACACGACTCAATCTTATAAGTACAAGTTAAATTATTTTAATGTTGAAAATAGGCTAAGATTTTTCCATTAACTTCAAGTGTGTATATATATATATATATAATTAAACATGTTATAATCTCATGTTTCAATGGTGGGGAGGAAAATTTTTGTCTCATACTATTTATACGCCAGTTAGATTCATTTAATCAGAACTCCGAACAATGCGTACAAGACTTATAATTAAGAAAGTTAGGGAGAATACAAAAAAAAAAAAAAACAAAAAAGTTATTGTGATATTTAATTAGTGTAATCACCAATGATGTACATCATGAAAAGTTTTATCACAAGTGTCATGAAAGTAAAGATGTCAAAACTATTTAAGTTTCACTTTCATAAAAGTAAAAATTATTGTTCCACCCCCAATTAATGCCATGAAATTTCCTTTTTCGTTATGAGTTTCATTCACCAATACGTAAAGTGATTTATGAAGAAGGTAACAAATAATTTACCGTCTCATAATGAGATTGAGAAGATATGATGGGAGATCTAACAACGACGGTTGGGGATTTAAATACAAGTGGGAAAAGATGAGAAAATAAAAGGAAGAAGTGAAAGGTGCTTGAGAGTGTAGTACCTTAGATCAGAGGGAGAGGACAAGTTGGAAAGAGAAGGAGCAGTGAGGCCATGTGCTTGTGTGTGTCCATGATATGTCTCACCCGAATTTTATGGGACAAAGGAGTATCATCAATTCACTCATATGGGTCCTTTACAAAATTACATTTTAATGCATTTTCAGTACTCTTTCACTCAAAGAGAGAGAGAGAGATGGGGTTGTAATATCATATATTCGTATAATATGTATATATTATATACATCAATGATCGGTGCAGTGATTAGAGGTCCGTTTAATTTACTGATTTGAATTGAGATGTGATTTTATGTGAGAGTTTTTTACTGTAGTAAAAAAGTTAGATGTGATTGTTTGTGAGATCTTTTTACTATAGCAAAACTCAAATTTTAAACTCGAATCAGCGAAACGAACGGGATTTTACTGTAGCAAAACTCGAATTCTAAACTCGAATCAGCGAAACGAACGGGGCCTAGAATGCCTTTCTTTTTTCTCTTCGCGGATGTATTCAAGATTTATTACTCCACAATCCTACATTAGAATCCTCTTCTCAGTCATATCTTGTGTGACGTTAAGTGTGTGGAGACCTAAGTAAAAATTTAATATATCACCTCAAGTAAATTAGATAGGTCCTTTCCATTATAATAGTGAGTTTTGAGATTTTCAAAACGACAAAGGAGATGATTGAGGATAAGATGGTACCAAGATCATGTTTTCTTTGTGTAAAAAAGTGTTTTACATATAAATTTATAATGCACTTACTTGTATATTTCGTGGACGTGACTAAGCACTGTAGCCCTTGTCTGGTGGCAATATATATATATATATAATTGTTATTGTGTGACATTGTTTTTACTAGGCTTTAATTGTCGTGTGTATAAGGAGCAAGAGATTATCCCACATTTGATTTGCTATTTGCATTATTGATCATATATAACAAAGTGAGATGAAAAATGAGATCTCTTGGTAGCACAGAATCCCTGCCTCGACAAAAACTAATAGTGATCTCTCTCTCTTTTTACATGAAGAGGAAGAAGAAGAAGAAGCCGGAGACAGTTTCTGCTATTGCATGTTTCACAACAATATTGGTTGTCCTATATATATGATATATGTGGTGAGATTCTTGGTCATTTGTTACAAAAGATGAAATATCATTTTCGTCCTATCTTCAGTACTCCAATAATTAAAAAAGTCAATCTTTTATGATAAAGACTTTGGACGAGAGAGAGAGAGAGAGAGAGAGAGAGATTAGCCATTCAATGAAAACTTTCTAACAAAGGAATCATATTGGGGTAGAAAGCTTCCCAACTTCACCATTATTATTTGAGGATGCACAATTTAACCTTTCAATAGAATCTTTGGTGACTCACGTTACAAACTGTTTCTGGGTTTTTTTTTTTTTTCCAAAATGTTAAATTTATATTCGATATAATTTTTTTATAGTTTACAAGATTCTCTCATGAAAAAGGAGAATAGCTTTTGCTACTAACACTCTTACAAGCCAAATTTTCAAAGTCATATATAGAAACTTACACAAGTGATTTCGAGAGTCAACTATCTTTGAATATGAATGGGAACAATAAAAATCTGACTCCATATCTTCTTCTTCATGTCCCCTAACGTCACTTAAAATAATATGTTAATTAAAATATCATCGCATATCAATTAATATGTTATGTCAGTTAGAATATTTTAATAAAGGTTATATAATGTTATTGGAGACACATCAAAAAGAATAGGAATAAGGTTGAAAGAATTCTTAACATGAGCTTCTAATGGAAATACATGAAGGGAGGGAAACAAAAGTACTATTAATTTGAATAAGTTAGTTATGATTATGCTTGTGCCATATCCACGAGCTAGTTTATTATTGTCCACTAAATGCTTGCTAAATCTTATGACTAGATACAGTAGTTACCAAGTAATTTGTAGAGCATGGCCTATTGGATCCCCACTAAGTTTCTTGGACCTAAGGTCAATATTTGGGCCCAAATGTATGCTGGTATATATAGGCCCCGTTCACTTCGCTGATTCGAGTTTAAAATTCGAGTTTTTCTACAGTAAAAAGCTCTCACAAATAATCACATCTAACTTTTTTACTACAGTAAAAAACTCTCATATAAAGTCACATCTCAACTCCAATTCTAAACTCGAATCAGCGAAGTGAACGGGGCAATAGAATCTGAAAAGTTTTTAATTTTAAGTTTTTATAGTAAAAAGCTCTCAGAAAATATTACATTTAACTTTTTCTGCTACAGTGAAAAACTCTCAGAGAATGTCACCTCTCAACTCGAATTGAAAACTCAAATATGTGAAGCGAACGATGCCTTATACTCTTTCTGCTTATAGAATATGAATATTTTTTATGTGCTCTTACGACCCGTTTGGTTAGAGGATTCGTTCTCTGATTCGAATCATGGTTCATAGTTCGCTACAGTATTTTCTCTCACAAAAAACACACGTAAATAAAAAATAGTTCTAATATCATAATTCTAATTCATGAACAAAACGGGCTCTTAATGTACTATTTATTTCATACATCACATGTTGATGTACTAGTTGACTTTTTGTCTTGATTGTCTCGCGAAGCTTTCTAATTAGCATTACTTGCACCGTCATGATCATGAGTTTATTTCAGTTTGACCAACATGGCCAGCATAAATAGCTGAATTAAAACTTGGGTCAACTTCCAGGATTATTATTGAATTCCCCACGTTTCTAAAATGCAAGACGCAAGTGATGTCCCCAAAGGGAGAGGTGATATTGAGCCGTTGACAATATATAGCTTCTGATGTAAGTCATCATAAAAGGCAAAATTCTGCCACAAAAAGGACGCATTTAAACATATTAAGGTCATCCTGAGCCAAAAAAAAAAAAGCCATGAGGGTCATATTATTGCCATTATCCTTATTGAAGTAGTTGCTTCAATCCAATTCCAAATTCTGAATGATAAATATGACTTACAAATTATAAGGGCTCATTCATAACGTTCTTTTGTATTACTACTTTGGATACTACCCTTGAGAAAACAGACCACCCCTTAACACATCTGATTGTTCATAGAACAGGTAATCTGGGGAATGATTCACCAGCCCAAAGACTAGATAACACTATTAATCCAGTCTTGTTGTAAACCATCAGCAATGTTTTCCTGTTCTAGTACCCAATTGTAACTCTCATTTTAAATAAAAGGAGAAACAATAAGTTTCTTTCCTTTCCTCATCATGTTAGGCTAATCCTAGGAGCATGATCATTCATGCGATAATCATCAATCCCTCGAGACAAAGAACTAAGACAGGGTAAGCTGTGCAGTTCTACATCATTTGGGAAACGTTACAGGTGATGTTTTATAAGAACATTATATTTCAATGGTACAAGGCCTTTTAGGATGAAGTCCATGAATGTCGTGCAGATTTAGACTCAAAGTGGACAATATTACACTAAATAAATGTGTGGGTCATTATAATCCATGCTTTCAGTTTCGTATAAACCTACTATTCTCACGTATACAATGACAAAAATGTCCAAAAATTCTTTGGAAGAGTTCAACTATGAGCATAAATCAAACCAATTCACAAGAGTTGCATATGCATCTATCAAAGAAGGATACACAAAGATACCAAGGATAAAAGTTCTAACTGCATGTAAATACTTCTGTTGAGATGAATTGCAACAAGAAACTTAAGTGTTTGCAACCTCAATTCGCAGGCTTATTGAGTATGTACAGAGATACCACATCAAGTATGTACAGAGATACCACATCAAGTAGTGTTTTATTTTGTGCACCCAAAAACACATTACAAAAAGGGGCCTATATGTTGATAGTATACTGGCTTTCATTTTTTAAGCACTATTTCAAACCTATTACTCTCTACTAAAGAGTTCTTATATCAAAGCTACTATACAACAATGTCTAATTAAGTATCTAGTAATGCAGGGATATATATATCTGACGATACAAGAAACTTACAAAGAAAATCCATCTCGCTAATTACTCTCCTTGTGTTGCAGATGATACTAAAGTTTCCATTGTGTCCATGGCTTGCGCGTCGCCACTTGGAATCTCATTTCCATTAGCTTGACAATCGACTATGGCAGGCTGACAGTTCACTTTCCATGGCCCACTTATACCGCCAGTACTAATCTGGGACGACGATCCAATATGTGGATGGAAGCACGGGGAATCGGTCTGGCACTGCAGGCCAATCAACCCGGCAGCAGAAGGCTGCACCTGGCAATCCGCTTCCTTGAAGAAACTAGTTGTGTTACTTTGCTTTTGGAATGGGTAAGTACCCAATGTACTATCAATCTTTCCTCTAAGATCAACCAAAAGCCCTCTCAACCTCAAGACCTCAGCCTCAAGAACTGCTTGCCTCCGCAATTTCCTCGCCAACTGTTGGTTCGCCAAGCGCAATTTATTAACTTCCTCCTCTAAATAAGCCGCGTGCGCCTTCTTTTTCTCCCTATACTTCCGAACCGCGTCTCTATTACCTGAGGGCCTTCTTGATTTCGAAGTGGAATTCTGTTTACTGGTTGTGTGATCATCATCTTCAGAGGCAAGAACTTGGGTGTGAGTATGGTAGCAAGTGTGCGTGTGGGTCGAGTCAGGGCCGGGCGGGTTACAAGTGTGTGTGTGAGTACACGTCCTGGCATTCTTCAGAAGATCATCAATAAATGAATCCAAAGACATTGGACCATGAAAATTGGTTGAAGAATTGAGGTTTGGTGAAAGAGGATCCTCTGAGGTATCTAATTCCCCATCATCCACATTTTTTTCATCTCCTCAAATGAGAACTATTTTCAGGATAACAACATAACAAAGAACACCAAATATCTGTAAAACCCAAATTCTATCTATTAGTAAATGAGGCCTATAATAACTCCAAGCATGATTCAACAAGACAAAAATTTGCTTACCAAAAGTAGTAGCTCTTTATTACAGATAATAATTCAAGAATATATGCAAAGAAGGTTTGACCATGTAAAGCACCTGAATTGTCCAATTAGATGTTTCCACAAAAACCCACTTGGCTTTAGGGAGCAAGCTTAATTCTAAAGCTGAAATTTTTATGGATAAAGGCAGGTTTTTTGTGGAATCCAAAAAAACCCATTAGATAAACAATTAAAAAGAAGAATTTTCCAGTATGAGAGTGTTGAAATCATTAAGCAGCTGAGGAGAATCCAAGCGTCAAGTTAGGGAAAATGACAGAACAGGCAAAAAAAAAAAAGGCACAATCTTTGGTAAGAAGAAGATCATGATAAGGAAAAAAAAAAAAGAAGATTGAAATTATTTCTTTTGAGAGCACTAAGATCGATTTTTTTTACCTGATCTTTTTTGTTAAGATTCTGGGAGCATGATAGTTTCATCTATGAGCATGGAACAAGCTACAAGCATCTCTCAAGTACCTTTCTATTTCTTTTGTCGGTTCTTAGTTGGCCTAAAAAAATGTAAAACTAATGCTCAGAAAACGAAAAAATAAAAAACCAAAAAACAAATGTCAACACCGGTATTACCGTACAGCTTCTGCTAACCGTTTATTTTCCACTTTTACCCACTTCGGCAACAACCAAACAATCCCTGTTCAGTTTCAAGCCAAAGAGAAATATACTAATGACTATCCACCAACAAAGTGAAATTAGTAAAATAATATTCTTTATTATTTTTATAAAAAACGACCATTCCATCATTTTTTATAAAAAGAGATCATTTTTTATTATTATTTAGCTATTTTGTAAAAATAATTTTTTAAAAAATAATTTTTTATTGAGTTATTTTTACCAAGGCCTCTCAGTTAAAACACACTCTCTATTTATTTAGTGAAAAAAAAAAAATTTCTCTTACTGCTTAGCCCATCGTTACAAGTTTCTTGACAATGGAAGAAAAAACATAAAAAGAAGGGCTTAATAAAAAAACAAAACAACGACTACAACATCATAATAATAATAATAATAATAATAACATGATGTATATGGTGGCTGTTGAAATCTTTCAGCTGTTGAGCTTCGAAAATAGCAGAACATGAAAAGAAAAGTTCTTAATTTTTAGCATCTTGTTGTTCATATTTCTGTCGTTTCCAGCACATGATGTCGTATCTATTATTAGCTTTCAGGAGAGGATGTCTTGTTTCCAAACTGACATCGTTTTATATTAATTGTCTTTCCAAACTGATGTCTTGTTTCCGTCGTAGATATATATATATATATATATTTATATATATATATATTTTCCTTTTAAAAGAATCAATTGTCATACTCATTGATCATCTCCGCTGTCGTTCCTTTTATTTTGGTCGTTTCTAATGGATATTGCTTTTATACTCGAATCGTTTATGCATATACGGTCGTGTTAAAATTGATGTTTACCTTTGTTTTTGTTGTCTTTTCGTTTATTCACACTCACACATATTTGGATCTTTTCCGGTACATTTTGTAGTCTCTATGAGAAATGGTGTCGTTTATTAATACTGTTATTTTGTGCTCATTGTCGTGTTTGAATGTTTTAGTTTATACGTTGCTTGTTTTTACAGAAGATTGTCTTTTATTATCTGCCTTTTCGTTTCGTATTTTTTCCATTTTTAATAAATATTCTTTTCCTCATGTTTTTAATGCATAATTGCTTCTAACAGATACTGATTTTAATGCATAGTTTAACGTTGTGGTCGCTTTGAACATGGATTACCATATTCCCCTTGTTTATATGGTCGCAATACGCCAATACCTTATATATATATAT